CCATCAGAATTACTTGACAAACCTTATCGGTTTAAGGTAACGCAATCCATCAGAATTACTTGACAAACCTTATCGGTTTAAGGTAACGCAATCCAATGTTTTAATAGGATACGCGTGAAAAAAAAATCAGGTTGGGTTTATTTTTTTACGTTTTATATTTTTTTTATTAAGTCACAAAATCCAACCAGCCCCCCTCCCCCCTCCYCCTGCCTGTAAAAAATAAATTGTCCCTTAGCCAAACAAAGAGTGAGACGTCTTATTTATTGGTTGACAGGTGACCATTCGTACTGGTGAAATACACAAGTCACGGTTTAGTAAAGGCATCTATGTCAAGTACAAGACAAAAGCAGACGAAGAGTACACTGTCACAGACACCAAAGTCAACACTCTTTCGCCAGAGTTCAACAACACCAAGATATTCTCCATTCCCAAAGTAACACAAGAAACTCTGGAATGGTTTGATTCGGGATGTATAACATTCTTGATGTATGGTCGACAAGAGGACAGTGTGGCTGATCCAAAACTCTCGAAGATGACCACCAAGGTATTAAGAGAGAATGCTTTTCATATTCAAGCAGTGAGCGCCAAAAACTATTTTCTTGAAGAAAGGCTGTTGTACAAGGCTAAAATCTTGTTATTCAGAAAGTTTAACTTGTTTGGAAGTGGAGATGACCGATGAAAGTGGAATCAAAGTGTTAACCCAAAGCAAAAATTTTATTCGAAAATGAGGTTTAGGCCTTTATTTGCTTATTTCCCATATATTTTCTATAAAAAAAGCCTGACAAAGCAACATTCTAACACAAATGTAACAAAACATCTTTGTACAATTGAAAATAACGCTTCAAACAGGCATTTTATCATAGTACATCAGTCTCTAACTGTTTAAAAAAGGTTTTTAGTGTTAACCCAAAACGAAAATTAGGATCAAAACTCATACGAAAGTCTAATTTTTGGCGCTTTTTGCCATTATTGCTCGTTATTGAAAAAACATTCTCTTAACCCTTTTGCAATTAGTAGCCTTCCGAGGTGAGGAAAAGACTGGATCTAGTTGGCGTTGCAGTGAATTGTGGGACTGTTTAGGGGACGAGATAGACGCCATCTTGGAAATATGTTCCAAGTGCCTACCTCTTTCCTGCAAGACAGGCCCAGCATCAAGAACTTTGAAAGCTATCCTTCCAAATCTATAGACCCCTCGCGGTCCGTTGGAATGCAGCTCAATTTGAAGGACATGACAATGACACTAGAGATTGTGCGCATGCGTGCATTTCAGTACGTTTTCTAAGAATTTTGAAGAGTTTGAGTGAGAAAATAAGTTTTCTCGAATTATACAAGAAAGTTCGAGAGTATACTTTTGTCAGATTAAGAGACTGTATTAACAAACACAATATGAAAGAATTAGCCTTAAGTTTCAAGCATTGACACTAAGTTTTGGCATTTTGTGAAGTCCAATTTATCAGGCATGTTTGAAAGTCAAATTTACTTATGTTTTGACTAATTTGCATATGGATTGAGGTCATGCGCAGACGTTTTTCACTCGTGTCCATAGCAATAGGTTCCCGGAAATTATCAGGAGATTGGAATTCTTTTTGTTTTGTCCTCTAAATTGAGCTGCTTTGACGTCACATGCAAGAGGTCTATTCAACAAGTACTGAATTGTTATGGGGGTGGTAGTCATGGGATGGGGTAAACATCAATTACCATTAATGATATATAATTCCTGTTGATTGATGTATTCAGGAGCTGCGCCAGATGGAACAAATCAAAGCCAGTCCAGGGATGGGTCCTCGAAGCATGACCATAGTAGGAGGTGATGTGGACAGTGCTCAACTGAAAGCTGAATTGGTGCTGATGAAAAGGAAAAACGAAAGATTAATCAAGAAAGAGAAACGAATACAGGTCTGTCTGTACCTATGGTTGTAGTATTTGATTTCGTACAACAACGACATCGAGATCGGCAGGACTCGAACTCGGCCCGCATTGGTGAGAGGCGGCGCATTAGCAGCGCACGCCAATGGTCCTTCCCGTTTTGTTCTTAATTATCTTTCTTTGTGCGTAGGGCGATTAAAACTGACAATATTTCTGTTGGTTTCTCTTAGGACCTCTGTGAAGAATGGGGTAAGAAGCCTCCAGCYGAGCAGCAGTTCGATGCCTTTCATCGTGCGATATCCGCGGCTGCCAATTATCAAAGTGGCCGTCTCAAGTATCGCATCCACATGCTGACAACGGTAAGAACAACCTTTCTTCTACCTTATTGGTTTTTCCTAGATTGCGCGGAAAACTGGTAACGAGTATGACGCGAGCTTAATCATGGGGCTGTTTTAGCGACGTCATTTGTGTTTTTATTTGTAGTTGTAGTTTTTTAATTGTTAATCGAAGTAATATGATCATCCGGGTGGATGTAGTCCTGAGAAGCACTGTTTGATGTGACTGACGTTTCGACAACCTGAGCGGAAGTCATCTTCAGAGTCAAGTGAAGAATAAAGTCAGATTGGTCATATTTATACTGCCACGATAACAATAGTCTAATTACCTGGATTTGCGTAATTGGCGGCATCGGTCTAATGAGTGCGAGTCACTGTTTCGGTGTTGTGGGCGGTTTTATTGTTTCTAATAAGCCTATTATACGGAGCCGGTAAATTAATTGAGCGGTTTAGTGGATGATGCTCAAACTTGGTAAACCAACTCTCCAGTACAAGTCGTTCTATACAATAGTTTTTAATAATGTCATATTTTGGCTTTCGCTCTGTTTTTCAAGAGAGTTTGTTTAGCTTTCCGCCTTATTGGAAAAATTGGCGTCCTCTAAAACAGCCCCATGATTCAGAGCGCGTCGTACCAGTTTTCCGCCCAATCTTGGAAAGGTTAATATTCCGCTACTTCTGGGTCCTCATGGGTTGTCCTCATTACATTTCCCAGCATATAAATCATCGGTAAAATCCATTGATGTGTGCCATTGATATACTTTTTGGGAGATCCCATGATTTTATTGACCTTCACAAGCTGTYGTTTAAAATCACAGTACCTTGTGATCCTTGTCACGTGACCCTCGGCACGTGACCCTCGGAATGTGACCCTCGGCATGTGACCCTCAACGCATGATCCTAGTCACTTGATTTTCCCTGGTTCTCAGTGGGAGCTACTTTGATTCCTCGAAAATGCGGAAAATATAATCTCTGAGAACATTTATAATGAGGTATTCTAATTTTTTTTTTAGGTTCTCAAAGCGCAAAAAGGAGTGACAGCAAACGGAGGAGAGCTCAAGCTAGATCAGAAACAACCTCCAGGCAGCCGTGCATGTAACTTGATGTAAAGTGTATTAGAGAGTAGATCAACTGTATAAAAACCCTACGTGAAGTCAGTACCACCCAAGAGTAGCGTCCGTCCCTTGATGTAAATGGCATAATCTACGTATCACTACAATGTTAGTCAACATTCTAGGTAGCATCCTACAACGCAGATCACAAAGCCAGCAGGGTATCAATTATCATTCTAACATTTTATCATATGAATTGATAGCTTAGAAAACATTTGGTAGTTCTATGCCAACTGAAATTACCAAGAACTCGAGTGAGTTCTAGACGGGATGTTGCACAAGGATTTACCAAGGTACATGAGGCAGACCATTGACTCTGTTTCTACATTTCTTTTTTATGGTATTGTCACGTGATTATATCGATCTGTTTGATATATCCCATAATAGAGGTCTTGCCCTATCACGTGATGTCCGCAGCCATGAAAGGAGGCAGGAACAGTGGCCCACTTCCGAGTTATGCTTCGCTTGTCACGCACAAAGGTTTCAGTATGAGGCTACGTGCTAAATGCTCAGTCATTCGTGACAGGCGGTAAAAATAAATTTAATTTAGCATGTAGCCTCATACTAAAACCTTTGTGCGTGACAAGCGAAGCATATCTCGGAAGTAGGCTATTGAATCGGGTCTACACTTTAAAAAATTCATTTTCCCAAGAGAGAACGAGTCTATTGCTGTGCCTCCTGTCATGGCTGCCTGTTAGATGGCAGAACAATAGAATACCTTTTTCTCTAGGAAATCGACTTCTTTCTTATTTAAAACGATTGTATTGTTCCTGTCATCCAACATGGCTGCCGTCACGTGGTGGTGCAAAACCTCTATTGGGCTTCCTTTGCTCTTTTTATGCGTCTAAATTTTGGAGCTTAACATTATATCTGTTTTTTTTCTATAATATGCATGATAAACACATCGGCTACCATGCATATAGTTGGGGCAGGTCCCCCTAATATGACTAAGTGAATCTTTTCCAAAGTGGATCGTATTATACTGTTTTCTTCATGGCCCAAGATCTAATCCCTGGGGCACACCATAACTTCCTTTTTTCCCTCATTGGTCTCACAGCCAAGTATTGGACATTACTTAGGATTATGCTTTCCTTTTTATGTACCTGCGTTGCCTAGCAACGTTGATAAACGTAATTTTATTTAAAAGTAGTGTAACCGCAAGGTTGACTTTCGTAGACCTTTCGCAAGGTACAGTTGAGTGGTCAATGGATCTAAATTTACTTAACATTGGCTTTTTTCTTATTGGACTACTGAACGATGAGAGACTCAAATGTGCTGATAAATCAGACAATCTTTACACCGAATCAAAATATGGCGACCAATTTGAATAACTATTGATCTGGGCTTACTACCCTCTCATACATGTGGAAACACTTTAATGTTTCCACGTGAACGCGAGGCTAGTCAGTGTAGAACAATAGTTATTTAACTTGGTCGCCATATTTTTGTGTTGTTTTATTTTCAAATCGTCCAATAAAATAGTGTAAGGTAACCACGATGCTCAGTACACGATTGCTGGGTTTCACTTGACGTCATTTCCTGTCTCGTGCGGAATGTTTATCAGCTGAATCACAAGTTTTCAATATAATTCTTTCTGGTTGACAGCACATGGTGGTCAGTGTTTGAGCACCATTTGGAGCAGATAATGAGATTCAAGGACTTTAATCAGTTGATTGAAACCCAGCAATAGAGTGCATACTAAAAATCCACGAAAAAGTTAACTAACAAAGTTGTACAAATTAGTGCAAAGGTCTACTGGACTTACTAAGGCACATGAACTGGACCATATTACATCAAAGAAGACCGCCTTGTTATCCATTGTTTCTACTTGGTTTGGCTGGTGTAAAATTGATGGTTTTCAACCATTCCCAAGAGAATTAAATAACAAAAGACACGGCGGCCATGTTGGAGGATATAACAAAATAATTCATTGACAAATCTTTTGTTAAGTTCCTCCAACATGGCCGCCGTGAAAACCATCAATTCGATGTTTGACCCGAGCCAAATGTGTGCAATTTCTTACGAAATTTTTTACGGATGTATGGTATGCACTCTACCATGTATTCGAACCGAGACATTAGATAGTGCATGTGCAAATGTCCATTTGACTGTGTCTTGAGAAAGGTCAATAGACTGTTTTCTCAAGGTTGCGAGCGCATCCAACTTGAACGTGCCACAAAACTGAAAAAAAGGCAAATTCAGTAAAATTGAGAAGCCAGTTTTATATTTAAAAAGGATCATAATCGATTTTATGTATTCTCATTGAAAAATGTATAAGAATACTGTGTTCTGGCATCGTGGCCCGTCAAGTTCCTTAAATTTGGATGCGCACGCAACCTTGAGAAAACGATATATTCCTCTTATTTCAACTTTACTTTACTATATTTTTTTGACGACTGTTTTTGCAATCTTTACGTATAAATCTATTTTTCTAATTTCTTGTTGTAGTATATGTTTTGATTCATAAGTGTATGTAGCAAAAAATATTTTTTATTCATTTTGCTAATGATAATAAATCAAATCAAATATATTTACTAAGATCATTTACTAACCACAGGAATCCCAGACAAACATTATTTTTTCACAGGGACCCCATTTCTACTTTCACATTCCCATAATACCTTGCGGTTTTGGGGGTATAAACTAGTAACTAGTCAGACAACTGTCAGAAAAATATACATTCTTTAATGAGATTTTCTATATTAGGGGACGAAATAGACGCCATTTTGGAATTATGTCCTAAGGCAGCCCCACAATGCCCTGCAATGCCAAATCGACCCAGTCTTTTAGCGTGAAACCAGAAAAACACACATCAAAAAGCACAGGCACCCGCTAGAGAACCAGTGATATTGAGTTTACGATCAAAATTTTCACATTGATAATAATAAAATTGCTATGTTTCGTAGAGATTGCTCTTATGCAAACTGAGGAAGATATGAATTTTTGAGTCCAAATCTTTTTGTGGACTTTTTGTAAAGAAATGTACGTGAAATACATGAAAACCAGGTTCACTGGGCAGGCTCGCTACCGTGAGAAGGGTGAATAAGCCTGAAGCGAGATGACGTTTTACCCCCGTCTCTAGACCATAATCCTTTTCACACTGCTTTTGTTCTTTAATTATGACTATTCCTGTATTCTCTAAGGAATCAAAAATTTTAACATGAATGAATTTTAAAAACTATTATGGTATAGAGTCGGGGGTAAAACGTCATCTCGCTTCAGGCTTATTACCGACCCTTTGTAAATTCGTGTTCAATAACTGTCTGACAAGTGGAATCCCAGGTGCGTTAGCCAGTCTGGTGGTGCGAGGTAATAGAGACTGGTCTATGGTTAAACCTATGACGTCATCATTGTGGCAAGAGAAGGATCCTTGGTTTCCAGTCAATAACGTGTTTGATATCCGGTGCTGATTTGGCGCGTCCAGTTCGGTAGTACCTGCAAAGATACTTGTTAATAGCCTTTGAAAGAAAGGAGCAGGGGTTGGAAACGCCCCTTTGGGTAGACAGACAGTAGGTCCAGTTAAATTAGACATAAACAGATGACATAGCATTAAAGAGAGAGAGAATACTGAGAAATCAAACAGAACTAAAGGCCATGTCAGTAAACCAATTGGTGGGTAATCCAAATCTTATATCGTTAACCTTATGATATCACTCTTATTAAGTCAACCAACTTTGTAGCCTTACGTTTACATTCTTATGGGGAGACTTTACACCATCTTTTTTTCGTTTGGAATTTACGTCATCGCCGCCATATTGGTGGTATTTAATTTGTATCCTCTGTTAATGTCACCAACATGGCTGCCATGTCTTAGTTTTCTGATTATTGATGGTTTTCACAGTCACCATGTTGGATGAATTTAACAAAAGATTTGTCATTAGTCTCTTTTGTTATATCATCCAACATGGCCACCATGTCTTTTGTTATTTCATTCTCTTGGGAATGATTGCAAACCAGAAAAAGCTTTTGAAACAACTGTGGAGTAAGAAAAAGATTCAAGGAAAGTGAAGGGGGAAATCTTCTTTTGTCTTATTTTTTTAATCTTTAGGGTGCAACCACATAAATCAAAATCCCTTGAGATATAAATAACAATGAAACAGCCGCCATATTGGTTGATCTAACAAGAGAAGCTAATGAGGAATTCTTTATTATCGTCAACCAAGATGGTGGTTATGACGTAACATGCACATGATCTAAGGAGTCTGTGCAACCCTGTGACTCAAAATCCCTCGAGATATAAATAACAATGAAACAGCCGCCATTTTGGTTGATGTTACAAGAGAGAGCTGCTAATGAAGAATGCTTATTTTTAATCGTCAACCAACATGGTGGCTATGACGTAGCATGCACCCAAGAATTACACATCAAAACAAACAACATTACATAACTGGATAATCAGGCCTTGAGCAGCGTTTTAGCGTACGTACCTCGGTGTGCCGTCGTCAGGGATTTCAAGGTTCGTACTTTTGTCTTTTTTCGTTATTCCTTTAAAGCTGTGGCAAAACTTCACGAAAGATGACTGCAAAGTAACGATAGATATTGCGCAAGTTAACATATTTATATGCTCAAATGCGTGGTACGTGATACAAGAGCAAAGTTATAAAGCAAAAGAGCTCTTAAAGGAAGGAGGAGGGAGGTAAACATGGGGAGGTGGGTCAACAATTTTTAACTTCTTAAAAGGGGGTGGGCTGTATAAAACTGTACATTAGTAGTGTGCATTTGCATTTCCTGCATGGAAACTGGGAAAGCTAAAAGGGCCATCACTCTTTCGACCTCGTTTTATACTGGGCAAGCATTGAAAAGCTCCTTCAGAACCAGTTTAACCCATCCCCCTCCCTCTTACTCCATGACCAGTCCCTTACTTTTAAACAATTGGGCACAATAGCTACAGCTACGAGCATCAATAGAAATAACGAGTAATAACAGCAGCAATACAAGAACGACGACAAGCTACGACAATAACAACAAGCTCTAGTGACTACAGATAAAACGATGCGCCAATAACTACAGCAGCAGCATCGACAGCAGTCGTTGCAACAGTAACAGCACTAGTAACGTCAAGAATAGTAACATGAACAGGTTAGGTTAACTCACATTCAGTTCTCTAGTCAACAAGCAACAGGGTTTACTTCAAGAAAACGATAAAGGCCTGCCGCCCCAATAGACGCCTTCCCGTTAATTCCCAATCTTGGGGCCAAAACAAAAGCAAAAATTTCCTTTAAAGGAATAGTATCTTTCATAGTTTTGACCCCAAAATTGGTATATAATGCAAGGGGTCAACACGATCAATGGATCTATGAGCCATTCCGAGTTTAAGGAAAAAACTGGGTGGAGTTGGCATTGAAGTAATGTTTCAAATACGAGTTGCTGTATTCTATTGGGGTTTCAAAATCTTATACTCTTTTTGTAATGTTTGTTTTTATTTCAAAGTTCGAGTACTTTGAAATGGATGCGGTCGTATTTGATGGGGGTTTCAAACTACTGCACGTGGTACAAATAAGAAACCCTGGTTGGTCGATGAGCTCATGGATTATTAATGAGCCCCACAATGCACTTCGATGCCAACTCAACCCAATTTTTCTCTCATACTTGGAATTGACAACGATATATAGCAACTTACTGATCTCCCTTTCTGTATTGGAGTGTTGTCGTTTTCGTTATTATTATCATTCGTGGTGAGCGGATCACTATCTGAGCCAATCTTATCGAGACCTGAGCCTAATGATGTACTCAAGGAATCCATCGAAAGTGACGTTATCGGAAGTAATAATGAACCAATAGTCTCCAGGCTCTTTGCAATGGCCCCATCTTCATCGCTGACATTGACTGCGTCAAAAGCGTAATTAAAAAATAATAATTAGAAATCTAGTACCCAGACCCATTTCTTACTGCGCATTTCGTCGAGCATGTGGTAAGAAATAAAGGCCCTGGGTACGAGATTAGTTAATTAGTAAATCCAGATTTTCAAAGTGAAAAGCACTTATCATGATCTACAACCATTTTTGAAATCTTAACTGCGAAAATGGTTAATTTCGGTTAACGCGATTTATATACAATTAAAGTATGTAGTGTATGTCCTCACCTGCAGGTTTTGAATCTTTCCCAAGCATCCCTGATTAAAAAAATATATATATACATTAGTGTCTTATTGGGAATGAAATACGCCAATCGTATTTTTCATACGAACTACATCCGGGACCTCAATGTCATATTTTCCATATCCTCACTAGTGAAGATATCCATTACGTCTTTTCCAATGCTTTCACAAGTCTTTGTGTGTGAATGTGTCTATACAATGATCAGGAAATTGCACGTTGGCTTGAAGATATTAAGTTTATTTTCTCGTGTTGAAAACTGATCCTCTATATCGTTAATTATATCCCATTACTTAAGAATATCAATTTATTTATCAAATACATTTTATAGTTTCGCACAACGTCACGATCGATTGGGACGGAACAAGATATATCTTGTCTTATTGCCAAATAAAAAGCAATTTACTCATGTAAATTCGCATCATAAAAACCTTTTAGGTTCACATATTTTTAGTATAATTTTATACTTTAATTCGTGCGCTGTCATTGGTCGAGCGATAAGTGATTCTGAGACGATATTCATTGGTCGAGAGGTGATTTCACTTCAGTGAATAGAATTCCCCATTTCAGACCACGTGTCATTCCCCTGAGAATTGTTCTTTTATGACGAACATGTTAAAATATTTACACATGAAAGAATCAACTCCCAAGAGTTGCATCACATGGTCTGTAATGGGACAACAAACAACGAAGGTAAAGAGGTTATATTTGGTGAATTTGCACCTCAAACTAGGTGGTGAATAATGTTAAAAATAATTTAAGATTTACCACTGCAAAGCATTATAGATCAGCTTTAATTAAATTTTAATCAATTTTAAATTCTCTATTCACAGAAAAGTAGCCCAGTATTGTATCGTCATATTCCTCATATATCTTTGGAAATATTGAAAATGAGGCGTGGATTTTTAAAAAATCTGCCCTACTTTGGATCCACAGTGACGTGTCTTCCCTCAAGTAATGTCTTGGTTTTCTTCCACTGTTATCCCGTATATTGATATCAGCGCCTGTTGGTGAAAATGGGAGAAAAATTATGTTAAGTATTTAAGTTTTAGAACCAAAATGTAAAATTTTCACATTTTAAGAAATTTTACATTTGAGCGAGTTTTGAAACATTTTACTGGCTTCAACGTCACTCACAGAGATAGTTTATTCATCTTACATGAGTTTTGAACCGACTTGGTGGGCTTGAAGTTAAAAGTGCCAAAACGTGTGTTTTCTTTCTCAAAATAATTCGAAAACGCCTCAGAAAATTAGAATTTAGTTTTCTAAAACTAGTTGCCTATGAATTGAAGAAGAAGATTCCGATTTTCTAAGAGAAAAAAATCAATTTATCTCTTGAACTTTTGAAACATTTTACTGGCTTCAACGTCACTCACAGAGATAATTTATTCATCTTACTTGAGTTTTGTACCAACTTTGTGAGCTTCAAGTCAAGAAGTACCAAAACGTGTGTTTTCTTTTTCAAGCTATACAGTTAAAAAATGGCCGAGAAAATGAGATTTTTTAGTCTTCTAAAACTAGTTGCCTACGAACTGGGGAAGTAAATTACGATTTTCTAAGCGAAAATTTTTTTCAGAAGTGCATGAGCTTTTGAATTTTAGTGGCTTTTACGTCACTCACAGAGATAATGTATTCATTTATGTATTAATGTATTCATTAATGTATTCATAAGCTGCAACTGAAAAATGAAAACAAGTGCGTTTTTCCCCCTTAAATTCATAACAGAATTAGTCAATGAATAACATTGCTCAGGAAATATTCATATTCATTTATATTTTATCTTACCATAATCTTCAATAAGAATTGAAATAACTTCCTCGTGGCCTTGAATAACGGCGAAATGTAGTGCCGTGTACCCCTGAAAATATRGATAAATATACGATGTCAAAACATTGATACTAATGAACTTATAACCCAGTTTAATAAACTAAACTTTCTTGAAAATGGTCATAGAAAAAAACGACTTCCAGGTCCAAAACAACACAGACCTATATTGTTGAGAACATTTATTTTTTTGCGAGCGTCAGTTTGCATGGACCGGAAATATTGCTGCATTATTTTGTGGGATGACTATTTCTTACTTACCCCCTTTATTTGTCGTTTAATCATTGTGAATGGTTGACAACACATGAAAAAGAAAAAGAAATTAAAGAGTGCTCTAGTTAAGTCGACTTACGAGTAAACTTTATAACTTTAAGTGCTACTTAATATGAGGCTCGTGGCGCGTAGCGAGAGTCCCAGAAATAAAGATGGCTAGATAAAGTGTTTCGTTTAGCAGCACAAAGATATTTACAGATTTGGTTACTCAAGACTATTGAAGTTTTGAACGATAGGTGTAGCAGAGCAATCGACATTTGCATATCATCTTTCTCCCATTTTATTTTTACCACTCCTTCAACCCTCGAGTCGAGTGTTTCAGGGTTTTTTTCCGGTTAAGACGCGAGTCAAAGTTTCCCTGTATTGATTTAAATGATAAGCGCCTCATGTACCCCAGGTTTACTGATTTATATGCTTATATTAGGCCCTGGCTAAAAAAGGAAACAAAATGTTTCCAAAGGTGGCAACACGGGAAACATGTTTGCTTAATATCGGTTAGCGTATGCGCATTTTCAAGTAACGAACTTTTAGAATGTTGACTTTCGTGGCTAAACGAGGAAACATTGCGAAACATCGTTTCCATGTGTCTTGAAAGCATGAAATTTTTCTGCCGCACAGCAGAAACATTTTTGCGTCTTGGAAGCAAAATTTGTTGCACGTAGCAATGTTTCGCATGTGGCTAAACTTGGAATCATCGGGGAACATGCGCGCGGGAAACATGTTTCTGGAAACTTGTTTCCTCGTTTACCCAGGGCCTTAGTCTACATTATCATAATTTGCTTATCACTGTATACATACTTACTTTCTTCAATGAGGAGATGACAAAGGATATCGAGAATATATAATGAAAGAAAGTAAAAGGTTAGTAGTTTTTAAGAGAAAGTAATGTCATGCGCAACTGCAGGACAACTCCGTGTGCGCTTTGATCATTAGGATTATATACCATTTGCCTATATTGTTTTCATTTTTACTTATACAACTTAAATTTTCTTGTTTACACCGTTCACAAACTTGCTATCGATGTGTTGCAAGCATTCCCAAGGGAGTTAAAAGACAAAAGCCATTGTAGTGCCGTTAAAACTGGCACCAACGCTCCCCGAGAGGCCGCGATGACGTAACTTGCAATCGAAGAATTCTAGTAAGTAGTTTTTGTTTTTTGTTTGTACGCATTTCTACTTGATTTCCTACTTTTTCTTTTGTTTATTTGCCTTAACACTGTTTCTACTCCGGGTGTTTTTACTGTGGTTCTATCGTAAAACCAAGAATAAAAGCTAGAAAAAGTAAATATATAGCAGCTAGGTTTTACCGTTTTGAGATTGACGTCCATTCCAGTACTTGCTAGAAACTCCACCATTTCTCTGTGCCCTTTTTTGGCGGCCCAGTGAAGCGCTGTCTACAGTAACACAACACAGAATACAAATGAATATTCTTTCTATCATCATCATTTAATTCGGAAGAAATTTTTTGTAACTTTCACTTACAAACTACGATACCGTTTATAAGCAGGAAACGAACCAGGATGAGGATTTCAGCAAGATTTGCGAAAAGATAAGAAAATAAAATAAAAATTAGAAAGTAAGAATTGGATGGAAGCCAAACGTACTCAATTAAAATTGAAATAAATTTTGAGTTTAAGTTTTGGGTTACGCAAAGCTCCGAAAATATGATACATTTATCCTATTTATTTGTATAGTTTAGTTACATTTGTATAGGCTTTTTAAAGTTATATTGTAAGAAGCATATACACTTTGCTCCATGCATTTTATAAGAACCTATGATCATCATCATTATTGTTGTCGTAGGTTTTTTCTAGCGTCGTGTGCAGATTTACGAAAGTATGGACTAAAAGTATCATTTCAATCAGAATCGATCTCAAGGGTTAGTGCTTCGTACTAAAAATCCTTACTGAAATTTATCTCCAAGTCGTGGTAGAGATGATATGCATTCTTTACTTACCCCCTGTGTGTTTGATTGTATCGCCGATAAAACCAGTGTGGTTAAACATGCAGCAAGAGAACATACAACATAATGAGAACACTGTCAGGATTCCAAGAATTTATAAGCTCAAGTATTTGAACTGGTAAATAATTTAAGAGAGTCAAGAGTCGTTAAATGTAAACGTTTTCATGAATGAGTAAAAATGTAATTTAGTACTTACCATCACCATGTCCTATGCGAGGTTGGAAGATATTGGAATCGAATAAAAGGAAGGAAGGAAGGAAGGAAGGAAGGAAGGAAGGAAGAAGAAAAAACTATATTCAGTTTTCATCTCAAACAAACTCAACAATAAATTAAAAATTGTCAGCCATTTCTAGAAAGAATTTTCTCTTGAAAAACTAAGATGCGAACGAACCACTAAATATACTCAAACAGAGCCTAATGTCAACAGTTGTAGCAAGTACCTTTTTTGAACGGAGACTAGAATCCCTTTGAAGTAAGCGTTTGATTTCCTCCATGTTACATTCCATAGCACAGCGATACCAATATTTCTCGTCATCCTTCGAATATAAATAAAGATGAAGAAATAAAATGAAATGAAATGGGGATTTGCAACTGCTTAAGAGCTGATCAAAGCGCGTTTCTTTTAAAAGGAACTAGACTTTAGATTAAAGTGCTTAAAAATGGCGGACGTGATGAGAGAGTTCGCTAAGAACTTTGAATGCAAGCGTACAAGATTCGACAATGTATCAGTGCGGTCTATTTGCATATGTGAAAAAAATACATCTTGCATAAAAGGGGTTTAGTTTTGCCGATGATATGATAAAAGAGTTCAAATTCGATCAATAAACAGTAAAGCCAGTTATCGTTTGATAAAAATAATAACAAATTAATTAACACTGTAGCTAGATTTTGAAAAATATATAAAATATTGGAGTAAATGTTGAATGCTCGTTATTCGCTGAAACATGTTCCACTCGCTTTGTGGTAAATAATATAAATAAAAATATTGACTTTCAGGAAGGAAGGAAATAGTATTTAAAATATATTTATATATATATTTAAAAAATCAGTCTTTCATTTTATCGATTCTCTGTCAGCTAATTTGTGAGCTGTTTAATCTTAACTCACAAATTAAAATCAAATATCGCAAATATAAATTGTTAAAAATCAAACCGTATCGGGTGTTGCCTACTTGACTGATACCGCGATGTCTCAAACAGTTAACCGTGCGGAATTGGTTTCTTTCTTGATGTAAAATTTGCGTTGCTCAAACGAGCGATATAAAAACATCTTACCTTAATAAAAGCATGGGCGCTTTCGCTCCGTCGACGCAATCCATCTTTCCTCAAAGCGACTGAAATAAGATTATGTTGAATTCAGAGAACAATTTCTGGAGTATTTTATGCACGCTCAGGCAGCAAGATATAATAACAGTAATTTTAAATTGTAGTGGTAGATTTGGGTTCCCGGGAGCCAGTAAATGAATAAATTCAGCTTCTTACGGAACGAATATCGACGTCTAGGATTTTCCCGCTTCCCCTTTCTTAATTCCTTTGCATTTGCCTTCGATGTATATGAAGTCATCCTTTTAGCTTGTAATTTTAAATTAGCTTAACTGATTAACTTAAGATTAACGGTTAGTTGACCTAGAAAAGGCCGTTTCAATATATTTTTAGTTTTATATGTACTAATTACTCAAAAATCTAATGTTAATTGTAGTTAAAAACGAAGCAAAAAGAAAAACCAAACTAATGATTTAAAAGCAAAAACTAGAGTATTCATTGATGTGACTTAATGTTTTATCGTTTACAGTATATCCACTTAACATTTGAATGGCAAAGTAAAATTACAATAAAAATAAATTATAATCATTTTAACTGTCATTTGGGTTCACACTTCAGATCAATTAGTTTAATTCTTTTTCTATCAGAAATTCAGACTTCGATAGCCCTCTTAAAATGGCTAGGCTGCTTATACGCGAATTTAGCACGACTCCTAAAATTCATTGTGAAAAGAAACGTCAAAAATTCAAGTACAAGTTCAGCGAGATTCTGAAATTTCATGACGAATAAGACGACATTTTCGTAGATTCTACTGCTAATTTAGCTTTGTAAACTATTTATAATTTTCTTTCTTTCTTTCTTTCTTTNCTTTCTTTCTTTCTTTCTTTCTTTCTTTCTTCCTTTCCATCTTACCTCAAATCCACAGAATAATATTCTGCAAGACGGTTAAAGAAACTCATTTTTTTGTGTGAATTCAATCTTTTCACAGCTAGACGAGAGAAATTATCGAAAACTGTACTTACCACCATTCGAAAGAAAACCCGCAAACTGTTCGAAGCAGCCCTGCAAACAACAAAAATTTCCAAGAATTAAATTCAAGTTTTTAGCCATTTAGATGATTTGAATATAGAGAAAATTTTCATTACAAGTTTGAGGGGGAAAACACGAATTTTAAACTTGCACCGTACCGTAGCCGTATATTTGATGGATAATCGCACGTGAACACCGGGAAGCCATTTCAGTGTTATAGCATTCCATTCACGTGCACGTGAAGTAAAACCTCTCTGGTGCACTTCCGGGCCATGTGTTAGATTTTTCTCGTTTTTAAAAAAATATRAGAGAGGAGAAAGAAGTAGAAAAGAAATAAAAAGAAAACAATAAGAGTCCTTTAAAATATCGAAATTTCTAAGCGAACAGCAACACTCTAGACAACATACGATTTCGTTGTTCGTAATCGGGAAATGTTTAAGTTGCAAATTAAATCTAATTAAGTATAAATTGCAAGAGATAGAATAAACCTAAGCTCATTTTTTAGATAATCTTAGAGATATTTATTTTAAATTAGTAAATCTTTTGAGAATTTAAGAAAAATATTATTGTTTATATCTGCATGGGTATGTTTATAAATACTTGAATGTTGACAATAATAAACTCTCGATAAAACATGCTCGAGAAGCGAGAAAGGGTCGAGAAAAATAGTTAATTTTTCAACACTCTTTTCTAACATCGTAATCATTTGGATTAGACACGTCTTTAGGACTGAGATATTATATCTTCAAACTCTGCTGAGTTCACTTTAATTCAAATTTGGTTGCCAAGTAGGTCGATAAATGGGTTGTAGTTTGCTAAAGAAGTTAACTAAAATTAAATATGTATAAATATCAGTGAATTTTCTTACCATGTTTGACGATATTTCAGCTTCGCCACTCATTCTTCTTAACGACTTCAAGAACACCACACAGAGAAAAAATGTCAACGCTGAAAGAACGTCCTTAAAAGTTTTGCTGTCTTCGTTATCAACAGAGTAATTTTCACAGTAATTGTCAAGTGTTTTTCTTTCTTGACAGTTTTTCTTTGTTAGTCAAACTTTGTTTATTCTGCGATTTGTAGATTGTAAATGATGTTGTAAGGATGAAACTTGTATGATGGGATACCTGTGGTATGACAAGAATTTGAAATTTCCTACGACAGGATTATAGCTATTCCCAGGTTTTGAGTGAAAAACTGAGTCCAATTGGTATTGCAGTGCAATTTGGGGCTGTTTAAGGGCACTTGGAACATATTTCCAAGATGGCGTCTATCTCATCCCCTAAAACAGTCCACAATGCACTGCAATGCCAACTGGACCCAGTTTTTCCCTCATCCTCGGTATGGTCAATAAGCCTTTTCATAGTTTAAGAATCGATTCCACTGCGCATGCGATTTTATCCCGAATTTCTCACCTTCTTTTGTTTAATTAAGAACAAAAGAAGGCTTAGACAAAAGAAGGTGAGAAATTCGGGATAAAATCGCATGCGCAGTGGAATCGATTCTTAAACTATGAAAAGGCTTATAGAGCGATAGCCTGCGTCACATCCGGAATTTTCTTCGTTACGAAGAAAAATCCGGATGTGACGCAGGCTAAAAGAGTGACACCCATTAAAGGGCAAGAATGACGTCTTTGAAAACTGTGGTTATAACAGATGAGTACAAGAATTTCCCTTGATATAATCCCTCTTAGTTACAAGAACATTTATCAAACTTCAGCGACTAGTTTTTATTTATTCATGCTTTAGAAGTCACTATCTTGGCTTCAAATGCAAAATTATATTAATAACACTTTTCCAGATTTTATTTTTTACCTCTAATTAACTTCTATCTACATTAATGATAAAAAGGTAAATTATACACCGTGAAAAGATGAAATAAACTTGCTTGCTTACTTACTTACGGTGTATAATTTACCTTTTYATCATTACTGTTTCATTAGAAACACCGACGCAGCTCACACTAGTTTTTAGCTAGTTCTCTTCTTTCTATCTACATTGGGCTCCCTATGGCATGAATTTTATCTAAAGCATTTAATTTTCCCTAACGTGTGGTACCCTTTTGCTGCCGGGTTCCCTGTGTCTCCAAAACGAAGTTGAGAAACAGGAAGACGTGATTTATCACGTCTCCAATTTGAACATCGTTCGTGTAAATCATTGTATCGATATTCTGATCTCAAAATAACAACACAAAAAAGAACCATGGACAAACAGGACGTTGTAAGAACAGCACTCCAGCTTGTTATATCGCGTCCCATTGTTACCCAGACTGTTTAGCCTAATGAGGTTGTTCACTAACAACACTGGATAAGAGTAGACAATACACGAACAAGTATAAGAATAGCTGATTAGCTGTGGTCAAGCGAGTTTCTTGTGATGTGATATGATAAGCACAAACAGGACGAGACGTGCAAGTCAAATGTTAATGAAAAGGAACAAAATTCCTGAAGGAATAAGTGCTTCTGTTATGTTGATGCCTGTAGCAATGAATAGGCCGTTTGCAGGATGGCGTCATTTTACTCCCACTACCAAAATGCTGACACCTCACGTGGTCTGAAATGGGAAAATATTATGCTCAAGTGGATTTCGTCTAATGGTGCTTATTAACTGAACAGTAAAGACATAACAGTATAATATCGTCTCTACAATGTAAAATACTGTGCAGCGTTTCTCCAATTTATTACTAATCGTGTGGAAGTGACAGGAGAGAACAGGAAGAAAGCTTTGTTACTTTGACTGCAAGAGTAGAGTGAGAGAACCTGGAAGATTCATTAATCAAGCCCCACCCACCCCACCCTTCATGAAATGCCTTGATCACTCAATTGCTGGTTTTCGATCATTCCCTGGAAAATGAAAGAACAAAAGACACGGCGGCCATGTTGGATGATATAACAAAAGAGACTAATGAAAAATCTTTTGTTAAATTCATCCAACATGGCGGCTGTGAAAACCATCAAAAGAGACACCAAAGACAATCTAGTACCCAGAGCCCAAGTCTGTCTTGGTTAGCAATGAGAAAAGAGAAGCTCTGCCTGCAGCCGATTTTTGGTCTGTTTATCTCAAAATGGAAGTTGAAGTCTTTTTTTCCCCAATACGATGTGTAAAAAAATGGTTGCTTTCACTAGCTTTCATTTATTGGTGCTGACCAAGAGCAGCATGGGTTTTGGGTATGCCACTGCACCAAAAAGACAGTGCAATGAATCCCACCATCCTCCCCTCCCTGATAACAAATGAATACTCTCTAGACTCCTTGCAAGGTATTCCTAATGCAGTACGATTCAGAGGGCGAAACAATAAAATTTTACTCTCATGAGAACTGAGATTCAATAAAAACATATATTGAATAATTATTAATGTAAAGTAATTGCTTGCTCAATGTAATTTCAAAGTCACACAATGCTACATTGTCCTCATTGTCATTAAAGGTAACGCAATAACAGATCAAAATATTCATATTTTATCTCAGAAAATTGTTAAAATGTTGAATATTTTACTATAATGTTAGTGTAAAATCATGTTTAACTGTCAGTCTTCATGTGTCATTCTTAATTACATTTGATGCAAAATCTCCTTACCACCCCTGGTAGAATAGACCTCTTCRGCTCTGACTTAATGTTTTCCCATTTCAGGCCACATGYCATTCCCTAGAGTATCATTTCTTTGTTTAAGGTTTGCGCTCGGTTGCACATGAGAAGACACATGAATATGGATACAGCTCAAACAAAGAATCTTATTCTCAAGGGAATGACACATGGTCTGGAATGGGAAAACATTACCCCAAGCCGAAGAGGTCTATTAATGCTCCAAGGTCTGGAAGTATGCCTGTTTTTGAAAACATTTCATGGTGACGTGTGAAAGGATGAACATTATGAGATTTCCTGTGGTGTATCACTGCTGAATAGCAGTTTCATCAAGTCTGTTCTAAAAGATTTGCCATATTTGTTATTGTGTTAGATACTTCTTCATCTGTAATGTCGGATTTCAGGCTTTGCATTCTTTGTTCCTGGTAACATAAGATAGAATAGAGAAATAGACAAGGTTAAACCTAAGGAAAGCACATTTGGTGTGTGCTACTTATGTGCATGACGCCTCTCACCAATCAATCTGGGTTCAAGTTGCACCAGGCTTCAGAGTTGAGGTTTGATACTGACCTTCTTTTGACATGTTTTTGGTTCTCTTTGACCAGCTATTTTTTCAAGTGCATGATCTTCTGCTAATTTGGGCTGTAGCTCATTAAAGCTTTTGTTGACATCTTCTATCCATTTTGTAGTTTGATCCTTCAACTACAAAATAAAACATGTTTTGGTATATTGGCATCTAGATCTATCACGTCATGTAGAAATTTTGATGTCATTTAGAAAGCATTTTCCAACTTCTGCAATAAGCCAAAATGCCTAAAGTCACACCGGGACAGCAAAGGGGGAGAAACCAGAGTCACTTAACCCTTTCAACCACATGCCATTTTTAGTGTACTTTTAATTTGACTTTTAGTTGTCGTTGTAGTGCAATTTGAGACTGTTTTAGGATTAGTACATTAGAAACAATAGAATTACAATAGAAGACAAGACAAACTCTACCATGAAGTGGTGTGTCTAACCATGTGCCTGTTAACTGCCCTTATGGTTAATACGTGTATTGATGTTTGGATTTGATGTTCGACAGTTTGGCATTTTATTGTGTTTCGAGTCCAATTAAATGTTGCATTACTAAAGACAAAGTAATAATCATCATGACGCGACAAGGGATCCAAATTTGGAGACATTTAGGGATCAATATCCTGCGTGCAGCCGAACTAACTAACTGTTAACTGTTAACTATACGAGAAAAAAGTCCGGCTGCACGCAGGATAGGGATCAAAGATCAAGACAGTGGGGAGAAATGTGGGGAGTTGATAAAAAGTACATAGGATCGAAAAACACTGCTTTTGATGGCATCAAAGTCAATATCAGCTGGAACGAGAGATTTTTATTGGTAGAAAGATGTGGAATTAAACATGACAAACCTTTCCTTTGGGGACAGCCTTATCCTTTGCTTTCTTCGTGTTCGAACCACTACTCCCTTTAATGACTGCAGACTTTGCATTGAGCGAAAAACTGCCATTCCCTTCTTTTCCTTTCCTTCGATCACGTTTTCGACCAGGCGCCATTTTACTCTAATGGTATATACCGCTGTAAAGTAGACACAGTGGGCGCATATGGGTAAAAGACAGCCTGGGTACGAGTTTTCCAATTTAAAGTTTATCAACCTTAATAATGTTAGGATGAATAAAAGCGTCTCATAAAATGCTAAGATTCCCAAAAATGACAGAGGAAACATAAGTCTCGCTATATACGCGATATGGAGCCAATCGGATGGTTTTTAAAAGCTTTTTTATGGACCTAAAAATCCCTTAAACGTATATCAACAGAAAAAACAATGTTTTTATTGGTGAGTCAAATACTTTAATTATTAAAAAAAATTCTCATGATATACGAATTATGTACAAAATAGAAAAGGACCTTGGGCTTCCTGTGTTAAACGTCATCATCTCATCCGGGATTTTTGGTTGTAGTCCGCGCCGGTCGCGCATGCTCAGTGGCGTTTCCGCACATTCGATTTATCTTGAGTAATATTTGAAACGTGGAAAAGGGGAGTTATAACCCTTCTTTACAAGGCTGTTTCACCCTGAAATAATCTCTATCAGGTAACTTTTCCCTCTTTGATACATAGTAGGCACATTCTCATTGATGCTGGTGGGTTTTTTTAATAGCGAAGAGAAGTATTTCAAGCTTAAAGGGAGGGTGGAAGTTGGTCGTTAGTTGGAGTGGGCTTCGAGACGGCGTACAAAATTGTCCTCAATATTCATTCAAGTTTCTTTGATTTTCTTCGCTTTTATTTATAATTACTATTCATACTCATTATATAAAAGCCTTCGAAGATTAAAAATATATTCCTACTCATCCTACTAAACATGCATCTCCTTTTACATATGTAACTTTATGTTTTCAAAAGCCTTGTACAAATCTTTGCTAACTTTTAAACTTCAAAATTCTGCACATTTCTTCCTAAATGTCTCAAAATTTAAACCATTATTGCTCATTAATTGTTGAACTCTCATAGTTATCGAATATTCTGTATTACTATGTGCAAATATCGTCCTTTTAGGATATAAAGTGGGGAAAATTAAGGTGTTTATGAGGTGGAAATAATTCCTAAGACAAATGTACCGAATAAATGAATACTTGGTACCATGCTGTATCTGCCGTCAACTTATTCATTCACTCACTATTTATATCTCAGTTTTCCTATCAAAAATCTCTTATTTTTAACTCCTTGCTTCGTAAAATATAATATTCTGTCTCAGATTGAGTTCCTAATGGCTTCATTTTATTTAAAGAGGCTCGCCGAATCAATCTTATAAGGATTATTAGACGTGTCTCAAGTATTTTCTAGTCATAATATAGATGTTGTTCTTTTGGCAGTTGTGAGATGGATTATTCTTTATATATGCCAGCAGTCTAAATAGCTGGTATCTAAACTATTTCCTATACTATTCATAACCTCAATTTTTAACGATTTTTTAAATAAATATCTCAACTGTTTCAAAAAAGGTTGCCTTTTGAGTGCATCTTTAAAGAGATATGAGCTTTTAAGCTGTGATGTATTTTTGGGTCCAACTGCTCATAAAAAATGCTAAAATAATCAGAAAAATAAATTCAATGATTTAACCTCCACTGGAAATAATTGTAACTTTTGACAACAAATCATATTAATGAAGCAAAAATAAAAATCTTTATAGAGAACTGCTTTTTGTCGTGGACCAGGAAGTTGCTTTTTCATACAAGTGACGTCACACTTGAAAAATTCATAACTTGATTTTTGTTTTAGGATAAAAAAATGCTTAACATTGCTTAAAATATTGGTTTAATACTGGTTTTGGCTCAGAAAAACTTGAACATTTAACACGATATCTCCATCTGTAATCAAATATTTGATATTTTCAGAATCACTTCATTAAAGTGCCTATCACCCTTCTGACAATATTTACAGTATTGCTTCTACATAAGGTAAGATGTTGAATAATCAAAAAAAAAATTATAGTTCCAGTGCGGCTTCTTGAAGTTATAAAGGTTTTTCCATGCCATATGCTAATGTTGTGACGTATGAGGAGTAATCATTTAATATACAAAACATTACTGGCACAGATAAATTAAATTTGAAATACGTCATTGTTTTCCCCATTGCTCTTATAGAAATTATTGCAAGTTAGTTTTCACATAGAAGCCGGTGTTTGGAATTACAAGGAACAACAAATAACTATAAATACCTCCTCATACCTCACAGAATTAGCATATGGCGTGGAAAAACCTTTATAACTTCAAGAAGCCGCATTCAAACTATGGAATTTTTTTCTGGTTATTCAACATCTTACCTCATGTAGAATCAATACTGTGAATATTGTCAGAAGGGTGATAGGCACTTTAATATTACTGTGACATTATATGGCAAACTGTTTTGTTTAATTGAAATTCTGTTTCAAAACCAATCCAAGCTGAAACAGTATTATTATGAAAATATGTTCAAAAATTACACCTTGATAAGTAAAAATATGCAAATGCTGCCCTATATTAACACAGTATGTACTGTACATTATGAACAATAATATTAAGTATCTATGTGTAAAAGACCAGATATTGCTGCTATTAGTTCATTTATATTTGTACATCAATTTCTAAATTAAGAGTTTTTAATTTGTTTTGCAATTTACATGTATATATGGTATTTGTTTTGTGAAGCATTTATTTCATATTTTGTTGTAAAGCACCTTTTTTGAATATTTATAGAAGCAGTACAATAATATCATCTTCGATATTATGCTTCAGAGCATAAAATAACAGCCAGCCAAGCATTGGTCACGATGACCAACAAAATTATTTTTAGCTTGGTCATGCAAATTCACCTTTTCGGCGCTACCTTGGATTGTGTTATAGTCACCAAAAAATTTGGACATCATTCTCGGATTTCCATACAAATTCACTGACTTTAAAGAGAAAATTTAGGTAGATTTCTTTAGTTAGCTATCTTAACAGCAGTAAGAAAAGCTTCAATCAAGCTAGAAAAGTGATCATTTACTTGTATTTAGAGAACTAACATAAACATTAACCAAGTAAATAGTTCATTTAGTGTCAGTACATTTGTACGGAAATTCGAGAACAATGTCTGACCTTTTTGGTGACCATAACACAATCTAAAACAATTTATACCCCATGATGGCAAGCGTCGAAAAGGTGAATTCCGAACTGTTTCTAGCAAAACATCACTGGTCAAAATGATCGGCAAGGTAAAGATTTGAGAAGACAAGTTCTAAATTTGGTCAGACATTGTCTATTGACTAGCCATTATTTTAAGCCCTGTGCTCCACATCTCTTCTTAAAACTAGAATTACTTATTTCATAAAGTCTATACGGCTCATTGCTTTTTTATCCCCCATTTTTGCTGTCCGGTGATTTGACTTCTACAGATTTTATCTGACATGTGAATGATGATCAACATTCGCCATTATGAGGACAGCTTATCCTTTAGTACCGTTATTATAGCTAGTTTTCTTCATTAAAAATGTATTTGAAAATTGCATTTTCTAAAATTTGACACATCCCAAAACTCAAACCAATAGACGACTTGCACTAACAGGTCACATGACCTTAGGTGTCTTAAAACCAGCAGCTGTGTGAAAACGAACTTTAGAAATGAAAAGTGCAGCTCAACATTAGTGAGAGGGCAAAGTGTCAGCTCATAATGTTGATTATATAAGTAGGAGAAATGGCATTAAATATGAAATGGGATATTTTATAATTATTTGTATGGGAAAATGTGCTGGATGACAAAGCTTTTTCATCCAGCATATTTTATCATACAAATCCTTATAAAATATTTGATTTTATACTTAATGCCATGTTTCCTGTTTCGCTTGTTATGAGATAAAACTCAACCATCCCCCTAATATCGAGGTGCTCTTTTCATCCCTGATGTTCATTTTGACACATATAGTATAGTGACAATCAAAATATTATACAGACTACTTTAGTAAACATTGGTTATTGTTTTATAAACTAAAAGTGCTTAACATTGTTTAAAATATTGGTTTAATACTGGTTTTGGCTCAGAAAACTGGAACATTTAACACCATATCTCCATCTGTAATCAAATATTTGACATTTTCAGAATCACTTTATTAATATTACCGTAACATTATATGGCAAACTGTTTTGTTTAATTGAAATTCTGTTTCAAAACCAATACAAGCTTAAACAGTATTATTTTGAAAATATATTCAATAATTATTACGTTTGTGATAAGGAAAATATACAAATGCTGCCCTATATTAACACACTCTGTATGATCCAACTGAAATTTCCTACAAATATTTTATGAGTTGATCATGACAAACTGGATCTTTGTTTGATGGGGGCCGTACGTCGTAATAATTGAAAAACTAGTCTAAAATGCCTTACAAATGTTTTATAAAGCTTTACTACTGCTAAATAAGTTATGTGTTACTGGTTTGACAATTCCCTTAAGTAAAAAACTCCGGGCGACTTGACCATACATTGCGGGCAACTTGACCACGACTCCAGGCGACTTGACCACGACTCCGGTTGACTTGACCACAACTCCGGGTGACTTGACTCTCGGGTGACTTGACTTTAATTCGTGAGTAGAGATGCTTGTTTGTTCTCTTCTTAGCTTCTTGGATTTTCTTCAAGTTAATTTTCCTGGTTTTATTCCTCCACAAAAATCAATTTCYAAATTCTAGTTGATTTCAGTAAACTTAAAGACATGTCGTGAAACCAATGCTACTGTAAATGTAAAATGAAAATTAGGTCGTAGAGCCAGTTGTCATACTGTAACAGTGTTCTTAAATGGATGGTTTATTTTAGCGTTCACGAGATTATACAAACATTATTTGGTTTGACCATCATACCCTATGCCAAGCTTTATGATTTGAAGCATTTTATTATACAAAAGGTTGGTTAATAAGTGGAAACTATATGTAGCCTGCTTAGCACACTCAACTAATAGARTACAAACACTAAAAGTGTGCAACACTTTGCACTATTTAGTAGTAAATAGYGCTAATTAAACAATAGAAAACAATAGGATTAGCATAATAAGCCTTTTCATAGTTTAAGAATCGATTCCACTGCGCATGCGATTTTATCCCAAATTTCTCACCTTCTTTTGTTTAATTAAGAACAAAAGAAGGTTTAGACAAAAGAAGGTGAGAATTTCGGGATAAAATCGCATGCGCAGTGGAATCGATTCTTAAACTATGAAAAGGCTTATTTAGCAGTATTTAGTGGTATTTATGTTACACACTTATAGTGTTTGTACTCTGTCCCTGCAATTATTTTTTATTTACTTTGATTTTGATATGTTTATGAATAATTTATATTTTTTATTTCAAGGGGTGAACCCTGGCACTAGTTCATCATGCCGGCACCTTTGAAGTTAAGGGATCTCATCCGCACCATCAGAGCAGCAAGAACAGCAGCTGATGAGAGAGCAGTCATCTCCAAGGAATGTGCTTCTATCAGAGACGCATTCCGTGAGGAAGACAATGACTTTCGCTGCCGCAGTGTTGCCAAATTATTGTATATTCACATGTTAGGCTACCCTGCTCATTTTGGCCAGCTTGAGTGTCTGAAGTTGATAGCATCACCCAAGTTTACTGACAAACGAATAGGGTATCTTGGTGCTATGTTGCTCTTGGATGAGAGACAGGATGTTCATTTACTTGTAACAAACTCCATGAAAAAGTGAGTGGAAATACAATGCTTTTTACATGGTTCTCTGGTCTTGCTACCTTCACCAAACCAAAGACATTCAATTCTAATTTGATATTCATGGTTTTGGCAAGAATAAAGCCAGCTTTTTTGTGCTTTTTTTCCAAAAGGGTTGAGTGAAAACCACCCCAGTTCTCTCTTTGTTTATTTATTCCATTATTTATGTAATAATAGATATTTACACCAAATTATCAATTATATTTTAGTCCATTTTATAGTTTATAGCTTAGTTTTAATTGTAAATTGTTAGACATTTTATTTAATTTTGCAATATTGAAAGGCAGTGAAATTTCTTGTTTGGAAAGCGCTATTGGCCAAAATTTTGGAAATAGCACTATATAAATAAATAAACTATTATTATTTATGTCATAATGACGATGATAATAATGACTTATTATTGTACTACTTTATAATATGACATTATTATACTTATTGCTTATTATACCTATTATTATATACTAGTGATATGAACCATACCAACCAGTTTGTTGTCGGACTGGCACTCTGCGCACTTGGAACGTAAGTTATTACAAAATATTATTACTGTAGATTTATATAAGTTTCTATATTTTTCTTTCTTCCTTTTTTTTTTTTTTTTTTTTTTTTTGTTTTTTTTTTTGTTTCTAACCTTTATTCAATCACTTATTACAATTTCAGCATTTGTTCGCAAGAAATGAGCAGGGATTTGGCGGGTGAAATTGAAAAACTTATTAAGTCTACTAATTCATATATTCGTAAAAAGGTAATATTCCTTTTCTGTGATGAAAATTCAATATTATATAAGTTAACTCCAAGTCAATATGCCATTTGGCCTTGGGCATCATGGACAATCGACTCAAAGCCCATTCAGGGTCAAAGATTAATTATTGTTACGTCATCCCCAACTACCTTTTTTTTGTTAATACTACATGGCCACCATTTCTTTGTCTTTTGACTCTCATAGGAATAGTATATCATTTTCACCACCAAAGCAGCCATTCATCTCATAGGTGCGGTTAAGTTTTGGGAACGCAAGTTTTGCCAAGGCTGTGATTAAACTACCGGACTGAACTGTTATAAATGGAGAAACATCGCCAAATGGGAGTTTGGTGGGGTCAAAAATTTGTCTAGAACTGACTGGTATTGCGAACCTGAGCAAATCAGGTCAAAACCTTGGATTTTCTCGCTTATATAGGCAACTGCTGACTCGGGGGCATTCATAATGCTTCTCACCTAGGAATCACACCCAAAAAAGTCATGCTAACATTCCGTGCATACTTGTTTCATGGCTGCTTTAGGGGTGAAAATAGTAACAATCTTGAAAATTGGGCAAATGTTCCAATTTGTACCATAGATAGCCCAGTAAATACTGCTGATTACTCCATGCTTCTTGTCTGTCTATACAATTTATTTAATTGAATGGCATAGTTAATTTCTGCGCATATGAACATATCCACATGAAATATGCGGGTTATAAATATATTTATATTTTTTTATTTTTTTATGTCTGTTTTAATTTGTATACCACACAAATGTAAACTCTATAGCCCTATAGTATTTTCACATTGGTTAGACAATGAGATCTTGTTTTTGCTTCCAGGCAACATTGTGTGCTACTCGGATCATTAGGAAAGTTCCAGAATTGATTGAGATCTTTGTTCCTTCCACAAGATCATTGTTACATGAAAGAAATCATGGTATGATAATTATAAAAAGAGAATAAGATACCTTTTGTTAAGATGATTTGTAAGGTCTGTTTCTCCACTGCAAACAAGCATAACGATGTACTCGATAGATAGTATTCCATTGTTAGTACCCCTTCATACTTGAGCAGTATTCCTTTATTGTTATGCTTCATGGCATAAAATATCAGCTGGTCAGTCACCTGACTGGTTATTTCTTGTTTTTGGCTCAACATCACTGGTCAAAATGACCAGTAGGGTAAAGATTTGACAAGAGAAGTTCTAATTTTGGTCAGACATTGTCTAATGACTAGCCATTATTTTTAAGCCAACTAGCTAAAAACTAGTGTGAGCTGCGTTGGTGTTTCTAATTATAAACAATGATAAAAAGGCAAATTTTACACCGTGAAAAGATGAAAAAACCTCCGACAAAGGACTAGTGTCCGAAACGTCATCTTTTCACAGTGTAAAATTTACCTTTTTATCATTGTTATTTTAAGCCCTGTGCACATCACTCCTGAAAACAGACTTATTTAATGTTTAAAGTCAGTTGGGCTCATTGCTTTTTTATCTCCCATTTTTGCTGTCCAGTGATTTTATTTCTACAGATTTTATCTGACATGTGAATGATGATCAACATTCGCCATTATGAGGACAGCTTATCCTTTTCTTCTGTTATTCTTACTAGTTTTCTTCATAATACAAAATTGGTTTTGAAATACAATTGTGGATAGCGCTATCCGATGGATTAATCTTATCCAGAGGATAAGACGATGCTGTTATAAAATAAATTTATCCACTGGATAAGA